GTGTCCTTCGCGATGGCTGGGTTGCGAGGAGGCAGCGCTTCGCTGCCTCACGCGTCCCGCCTCTACAAAACTGCATATTGTCTGTCCGTACATCTATCCACTCAGTATCAATGCTGCAACTTCTTGATTTATTTCTCATACATTTTAGTTCGACTGAATTCCCATTAATTTGTAGCGTTATCTAAGTTACTAGCTAAATATAGATATGTATACCTCGTTCGTCTTCTTTCGTATGAAGACGAAACCAGTTAAATAAGTTCCTATACCTCGTAGATATATATAGAATCTGCAGCAATTATTGATTTGTATATAAGACAATATAAAAGTAGGTAGGTATCGTTAACCGACGAGCATGCATGAAAAGACTGATGACTGTTGATGAAGCGAGAGAGGTGTGTAAGAATCGCAGCAATAGTCTCTGCCTACACCCATGGAATACAGGCGTGAAGTTATAATAATAAATACATACATAAGTAAATATTCCGTTTCCTGTTAGTAGGTACGTCGATAATAGACATAACCCAATGATTGACAAAACCAGGCCAAGGAATTTATCATAATTATAATTATTTAAACTCAATAAATACACCAAATTATAGTTGAATTTATAAAAATAGTAAATAGGCAGATAATTATTAGGTATAGGTTAATTGGGTATTAGTTTTTTAACAAGAGAATTCATCCAATGGCTCCTCCCGCCCGAGTGTGGCGAGAGGGAGTGTCAGAATCTTACTGACTGAAAACCACCCCATTAAATGGGTACCTAAATACATAGGGCAACTCCTCAATAGTACGAGTAACCTATTAGATAGCATAACATAACATAACGCCTTTTATCCCCGAAGGGGTAGGTAGAGGGGTGCACATTGTGCCACTGTACAATGTAACACCCACTTTTTCACTATTTATGTTATGAGTCCCATGTAATAGGGGGTGAGCCTATTGCCATATACCGGGCACAATCCAGACTCCGTGCTACTACTGAGATTTTTTTTTTAAAAACCCCGTAATACTTGCCCTACCCGGGAATCAAACCCGAGACCCCTTGACCGGCAATCGCACTAACTTTGTTAAAGCAGTCTTAGATAGCAGTCTTATTAATATAAGAGTGTTATAATGACTTAATGACTCGCACATCTCGTGTTCGTGTTTATTACTCTAATTATATTATATTACAATGCTTCGTTTATACTTATGCATGCATTATGAATGAGTCTGTGCTTGAAGCTAAGAATGACGATTGTAGTTACTCGTTTCAAACCGGCAGTGATCGTAATCTGTAGTCCTAGACTTAACTTTAGTTTTTTATCGCGTTCCTACAGAAATGGGGTATACAAAAATATATTAAATAGCCAAATTATAAAAGTAGGTTATATAGAGGTGCTAGGTCGCGGTGGCGCGGAGGCTTAAGACACCCGCTTCTCATGCATGAGCAAATGTGACATTTCCGAGTTATATGCACGTTCTAAGATTATCTAGACACCACTGTAGGAAAATATCGTGGGGAAACCTGGGCTTATAATTGGGCCTCCAGTTACCTCACCTTCAGTTGTTTCACGTCGGTTTCTGTGAGGCCGTGGTATCACTCCGGCCGAGCCGGCTCATTCGTGCCGAAGCATGGCTCTACCCCACTTAAAGTTAAAAGTCACTTATAGTGTAACGCTGGTATCTGGACACACGCTGTCCACATGAGGACAAATATACGTTTATGATAGAACGTATCCAAAATAAGTTTGCCAGATTTATGTATGTATTTAAAATCGTACGGTATATACCCCGGATACCCAATACCATATCCAACGTTGTTTGTACTGTACATACCCAGTACGGCGTGAAGTATTCTGTTTTAAGGTGTTGCGCTGTTTAAATATAAATAAATAATAATAAATAAATCTTTCAGGGATCGGGGCTCTCAATGAGTTCGACTTCTCTCTGACACCTCTTCTAACATGTTCGGGTTTCTTCATAATGTACTTGGTGGAAGAACTGGTTCACACGTACATTCACTACCGAGAGAGGAAGAACGGACAGGTGGCGCCACTAGTCAGGAACTTGAGTGTTCGTCAGAGCCGCAGCGGAGTCAGCAATGGAGAGAAGAGCGTTAACAATTCGACTGCAGATCTAGTTGAGCCAAAAAAGGTGAATAAACTTGATTAAATATAAGTACTTAGTTACCTAGAATAATTTATTCTGGCGTGTTTTTGTAATGCGAAGAATTGTTTTTGGAATTGTATGCAAATTAATAATGATAAAAACGTTAAGCGTTTTATGTTTAATAAATAAATGCATAAATGTTATCTTTTTCTATTTTCAGGACATTGAAAGCCATCATCACCACCACAATGGACACGGACACTCACACCACCACAGCCATATGCCAATGAACGTGGGTGATGACGTAACTGCTGCTCTAAGAGGATTACTCATTGTGCTTGCTCTGTCTATCCACGAACTGTTCGAGGGTTTGGCAGTCGGTCTAGAATCCAGCACTTCTCACGTCTGGTATGTATTGGGTGTTGTTCTTTATTATATCATTTGCAACGCCATCTATTGTCGAATAGTAATAACATTTTGAAACAGCAAGCAACGTCAATTTTTCTTCATAACGCTACTCGATCACAGATGGCGCTGTATCTGAAATAATTTAAATAATTTTATTATGTTTGGCGTGTACTTAATAAAATCAATTATCTATGTTTTCAGGTATATGTTAGGAGCTGTTTCAGCCCATAAGCTCGTCATTGCCTTCTGTATTGGTGTGGAACTGATCGCTACACGTACCAAGACTGTGCTGATGATTGTGTACATCACAACTTTCGCCATTGTTTCGCCCTTGGGTATCGGAATTGGTTTGCTGTTAGTGGGAGGTGAAGGTGCTACTGCTGCCGGTATCTCGTCTGTGGTTCTCCAGGGTCTGGCATCAGGAACTCTGCTCTACGTTATCTTCTTTGAAATCTGGAAAGGCGACAGATCCGGCATCTTGCAGTTCATCGCTTCCATAGTCGGGTTCTTCATCATGTTCGGTCTACAGTTGTTAAGTAAGTACTTTGAAATATTTAGCATAATAAGTAGGCACCATCCTTGTCAATTACCTATTACTCGAACTGCAGGAGTAGGAACGAACAGGGTTGTTTTAGTCAATAAGAGTCTGACACTCCCTCCAGCCACACTTAGGCGGGAGAAGTCATTCGACGATTTTCCCCCCTTAAAAAAAGGCCAGCGAAGATATCACTATCTTTTATTTATATTTAATATTTTTTTCTATATTTTATATTTCATTATCTTTTATACCTATCCTACAGCAACAGTCATTGGTCCTTATACCTAGATTCCAGACCATACCTATACCTTATACTTATACCCATACCTTATACCACCTCTATAAACCTAGACCTAATATGACTAAAATTACCATAGAAACTTTATTTACCACAACAAATGCGTATTATAAGGAAAATCACTCATATGTTACGTTCAAACATAGTAGGTACCTATTAGGTATCTGTACCATCTATTAATAAATTCTTCTTTTTCTATTTTCAGCTGGTCACTCACACTCACACTCCCACGGCGACCATGGTCACAGCCACGACAGGAAATAAGTACAATGAGTTCAATGACCCAGACCATGCCAACATTTTCTACGACAATTTAAAATGTGAACCAAGTACTTAATCTTACTAAGTAAATGACAATCATTCTATTTGTGATAAATTATCAAGTGTAAATTTTAGTTTTAAGATAGTCTAAACTTATTTTTTATGTAATTATTATGTAAGAAAATAATACTGACGAAGTTACAGGAGCTCTAAAAGAGAAAATATCGTTAATTTCGGATACTCGCCTTATAAGTAATTAGTGTTGCCATTAGTTGCTACTTTTTCATTTTAGTATGATGACAAGACAAGGAGATGCCTATTACTTACATTAAATATTAAAACTATTATTTATATCAACTAGCGAGATTCCGAAACAAACGAACTTTCTAGTCATCAGCTACATAATAATGATATTATTATTGTCTTACATTTAATTTTAATTTTATTGCATACCTAATTGTATTGCGGGACTTTAAAAATTATCTATCTGGCTGCAGGGAATTTTAACGAATGTTCAAATAAAATGCCACCGTGCCACGTGCCGGTTAAAAACCATGCACTGCATGTATTTTGACTAGACTTAGTCTTAAAGATTTACCTAGCTATTTTAGCTTATTTAATTTATATTACCTAACCATTTCACGTTTGGGACAAACTTATCCAATTAAACTTTATAAATTATTTCGTGTAGACCATTCTTCCATGTCTATGGAACATTATCATATAAATTGACTTTATGACTAGGTACCTAAACATAATCTGATAATACTTATGTCATACATGTAGGTAGGCACACATTTTCATACTTAAGTCCAAGAAGTATTGAAACAACTTGTCTTTTAGTTTTGGACGCCTTTCTGTCTGTGATATTATGGAAGCAGGAAGCAGAGAATTGGATGAGCCATACATACTAACCTAGATTTTAATAAATAAATACATAAGTAGGTAATTATTATAATTAAAGTACAAAGTATATGGAAATGACCATTAAGGTGCTTAGGTACCTACTTAATTCGACATTCCTGTACCTAAGTGCCTAACTAAATAATTTACCTACAATATGTCTGTGTTGTTTTTTATACCTTATTGTTAAATAAATACATAGGTGTCATTAATGAGGATTGGTACCGACCAGCTATGTACTACATACAGTTCTGTAGGTACATTAATTTAATGTGATCCGATTTTATAAAAGTTTGTATAATAAAATCATAAAATATTTAATTATGTCTTTCAATGATTCATTCAATTACCTATTATGTATTATATTTGTTATGCTAGGGCCTTAGGCCCCCAAAAGGATGGCAACCCATGATTCATACCAAGGAACGACTGAATTGACAAGGAACGACTGGACCCACTGTTCATGATTTATGTTATGTTATGAGTCCCATGTAATAGAGGATGAGCCTATTGCCACATATCTCGTTGGCTGAGTGGTCACTCAGTGCGACTGCTAGGCAAGGAGTCTCGGGTTCGATTCCGAATCAGAAAAAATATTACTGGCTTTTCTCAGTAGGTAGTAGCACGAAGTCTGGAATTGTGTCCGATATATTAAATAATAGTGAGTGTTAAAATTAAATGACCTAAGCTTACCTTTACAGAGGTTAATAAGTCTTTCTCTTTCATACCTAGCTAGGTACATACATCTACACCTTTTATTTTTCTAAGGGGGAAAATCATCGAATGACTGCTCCCGCCTGGGTGAGGCGGGAGGGAGTGTCAGACTCTTACTGACTAAAAACCACCCCGTTCCTTCTGCACGTCTAGCCGGAGCCCCGGTTACCCGTTAGGTTCTCCGCGACACATACATCTACACTAAGTTTACAAAACTAGTCTCAAATCCCTTTTTTTAAGTCGGCTAATTAATATAGTACCTACTGGGTAATATATTAATATACGTGGGCCTAATTACCCCCAAAATCCCTGAATCCCCAACAATCCTCAAATTCATAATTCCAAAAGGCCGGAAACACACTTGCAACGCCCCTGGTGTTCAAGGTGTCCATGGGCGGCCGATTGCTTACCAATACTATCAGGCGATCCGTCTGCTCGTTTACCGATACCATAAAAAAAAACTAAATCCTTCTCTTAAGTATAACAAACCTTTTTCTGAACACCGTATCAATATTGGTTTAGCCAATCATGAGATAATCGCGAATAAACATACATACAGGTCAAACTGTGAACCTCGTTCTTTTTTCGAAATCGGATAGAAAGCGGTCATATTACATTTTCAGCCTGTAGCCCTGTACCTACCTAACTGTCTCATACTTAACTGATTAAAGACCACGTTTATTCAGCTCAAGAATTGTCGAACTTACGCTACATTGTTTTATGTTCAGATTATCTCATCATGTTTTCCGTCATCGTATGACAATGATATATTTTATTTGTACTTAGAAAGTACATTGTACATTATAGGTATCTAGCATGGCAACGCCAGGTTTAGAATCCGCCTTCCCATGTTTGATGCTTGTGAAGCATGTCTAGGTCACCGTGCCATACTTTGCGTAGTGTTGTTAATCAAACTTCCTTGCAGATAATTTTATTTTTAATTTAATTATTATACAATTTTAATTATATTGTGTAGTCCCGGTGCACCATGACCACACAAAATTAAAATTTTAAGTAACAAAACTAGATATCTAAGTAAAAACGTCCCATATTTATTCAGTTCTCGAGTATCTGATAAAAGAAAGGACCTACTACAGCTGATTCATTTTGTCCATATCTATTGATAAAAAATACTTTGCTATAAATAATGTCCTTGCGCACGATCCATGACATATATACGAAGTAGACGAATAGACTCATAAGTAGGTATACAACAATATCTGACGTAGGTATTTAGATTTCTCTATAGGTAATAAGGAGAGGAATGTGAATGATTCAATTGTAGTTCTTTACGTAACGTAAGAGCCGTCTACTTAGTTATATTTTAACTCTATGTACAGATCCTATGGTGCCTAGAAAACGCATGATATTTTTTTTATTTTAACAGAGTTTTTGCCCTATGCTGTGTCAGGTCTAATAGTCTGACTGTGCACATGTAGTCAGCAAAAACATAGTCAACTTAAAATCATTTTACTGCGTAGGTACCTATTTCTCGTCTAATTAATAAACAACCATTTTTAAATTGATAAATTGTCGTGGGTCTCGTGGGTGTGGTTACTAGAAGTGAAGCGAGGAGCAAACGGTTCGTATTGTATTTAGATAATGCTGAAGTTGTAGATAGTGCTGCATCTAGTTATTGAATTGAAGGCGTCTCTCTCATACTTGCCTAAAACGCAATAGGCTATTCTGTTGTCACTGTAACTGTCAAGTTTGTCAAGGTCAAGTGAAATAACAATTTTGACAGTTAACTACCTGTTTGGTGCGAGTTCTGCTGTTCTTTTTAAGTTTTTCTATAAAAATATTACGCGAAAGTATACTAACTTTCTTTGTATCAAATACGGATAAGTCATTAATCCGTTTAAACGAGGAAGCATCTGGATTCATTGACAACAGGTAAATATCGTTTACGTAAACAACACCTTCTCGAATATAAAATTTAAAATGTAAATCATTTTCATAAATTATAAGTTAGAAAGTGAAATGTTACGTATGATATAACAAGTTGAAAGGTGAAATTGTTATGTGGCCTTGTGCTGCGTGTGGTTTGGTTGCAGTCGAGTAGGCGAGCGCTCGTAGAAAGTGTCTAACAGTTCGCGTTCCTGCCGACAATCTATTACTCCACTTGGTGTTTTTCATGTCTATTGTTATAGATACTATTGTCTAAGTGTGTCACAATGGCTCTGTTACTCGGCTCCACTGTTTGTTTATCGGTGTCTGATAGTAAGTTCTAAATTTCCTTCGGGTTACCTACTTTCGAGACGCGTTTCGTGTGCTTATTTAATTTAATTCGATGTTATCAGGTATTTCTTGAGTTCACTGACTGTTTACCTGTTTGTAATAAGGAAAAAATACTTTGTTAGCTAACATTGTCTGTTTTATGATTAAGGATATTTATTTACCTATGTGTTTAAAATTGTCATTTGTATTTAGATTGTGTAGCAAGTGAGCACCGCCCGCTAGCCCCAAGGATGTCGGCTCCCGGTTTAACTTCAGAAGCCCAGCTGCGGTACATGCTGCAGTGGTTCAGTGAATTCAGTGAGTTGCAGAGAGAAGACTTCCTGCCAGTTCTGGCCGCTGCCCGGGGAGACAAACCTGATCAGCTGGCTGCTTCATTGGCTTCTATAACTTGTGACGACAAGCCTGTTAGCCTTTTCCAGTGCCGGGTGAGTTGGAATAAATAATATTAACACTTTCTAGTTTCTAAACTGGTTCTTAACCCATAAATCCCTAAGCGGTCACCGGTGACCACTTTCCACTAATATTACATTACATTATAGACCTTATTTCTAATGTTTAGAGACTACTTTTGTATTACCAAATTTAGGGGATTGGATATCAACGGGTTAAATAGTCTTAAAAAATAAATAAGTACAACAAATGCAGTTCATAACTTGCCTACTGTTTTTGTTTTACTAGAAAAACAGAACTAAGCTAGCTAGATTCTCAAAGATGTAACCTTGTTGCTTCTAATCTTTGCGGTTAAATATAGAGCAAAGTGACTCATGCCATTAATATGTTCACTTATTGAACTGCTAATGACTCAAACAAATATGGTGTTAGACTATTTTTGAACTAGTGTAACTAGGTATTCATAGTTGCTAAAAATAGGTTATAGTAATATGGAGTGAAAATGTATATTTCTCAGTTTTGTCAGTCTGACCCCATCAGGTTATATTATATGTTATGTCATTTAAGTTGATTTAACCCTTTGAGTACCATCATTATAGACACAATTAAAACAATAGGTTGCAGTCACCGGTGTCCTCGCGGTGTTTGACAGTTTAAGATTGGAGCAGACAGTTACAAATACATTGAAAACAGTGTTGATAGCCTAAACATACTTCATCATGTCAGCTGTACGAAGTCCACTGCTGAACATATCCCCCACCCCAATGGCTTCCAGATAGGCCCGTTGGAAATGACCTAAAAACACTCATAGTATATTTTTTATAACCAATATTATGTACTTCTCTAATCTCTACAAATCATATAATTTAGCATAAAGGTTTAATTTGCATTGGTAGGCTCCAAAATGACTTAGACCATGTTTGGAAAAAAATGTTACCATCCAATAACTTACTGGCTAAGTCTTTCTTTACCTGTAACATTGGGATCTATTTAAAAGAATCTAATAAAGTATCTTCTTTATAAAGAATAGCTTATTATATTATAAATAAGCACTTAATGTTAATTGTTTCAACATAGCTATGAAATACTTAAATCATTTCATACTATAGAAAATAAATCAACAATGCATTATATTATACTGCAGTTAGTATAATTTCATAACAATTTTCTCTAGAGGAATGCACATTTTGCAGAAAACCTGTTGGCTGTTGGCTAATAAAAATAATTGTATTGTGTTGATCTTAATTGTCAACACAATCACTTGATGAGTCAGCAATTGTGTAAACATGAATAATGTTTACAGTTACAGTTAGATCACTTAAAGCTGTGTTATTTTATAATCTTGCGCAATTGATTGTTATCTGCTTCGTTACTTTTCTAAATTATGCAAAAATAAAAAATGACTAGGTAAAAAAAACCAACCAAGGTCTTTATTTTTAAATTAGGTCAGGTTCAGGCAACGAAACTTTTACTTGTCTCCAGAGAGTCCTGAAATACTGACAAATTTTCATCTGTGGATTTCATGGGAATTAAACCCAACACCCCTTTTTAACCAATAATGCAGTCAACCTTCCTCCTTCCTGTTATTTTCTAGTTTATTAAGTCCTGACAGATAACACAAATGTAATGATAAATAAAATATAAAATCCCATTTTATTGTGTTTCGTTTCCTGCAAACAGTAAAATTTTATTTTAAAACCAGTTTGAGCAAAACCTCGATAGTAACGTAAGATAACTTATGCAGACAATATTATACCATGTTTATTTATATTCATATTATTCCTGTTACTAAAAATACTAGACAATGAATTAAAAATACAAGTTGAGTTCGGAAAAAATCTACATAGCTAAAATTTTATTCAACAACAATTTAAAACATAAATATTATAATTTCCAGATAAAACTATTTAACGAGTGGTTTCCAACCTGGGCTGAGGAGGAACAAGACAGGCTGATTAAGAGTGTCTCCGAGACTGATCCTGAGTTCGGAAAGAAATTGCAGGATGTCATGTTAAACGGACCACAGGTGAATGGTGATCAGAACGGATTCTTTGACTATCATACACCAGCTCCGGAGGAAGAGAAAAAGACTGAAGACAGTGAGACCTGGAATAATGAGGAGAATGGACATGCTGAGGTAGAGGATGCTGCAGAGCCAGTGGTTCCTGAGAACATTCCTGTAGAAATTGCAGCTGCATCTTAATTTATTAATGAGGTTCTTTATTTAATTTTTTTTCCGTTTTTATTACACCAGCACACGTTTAAATAAAAGAAAATGCCGAGTTCACACAATGAGAACTACCATTTTGTGATTGCTCTATAGAGATGTCCAAAATTTAATGTGTAATGACTATTCGTTAACCGATAGTTTATTGGGCAAAAGACCTTTCGCTACATAAGTAATCGTTGCGCCAAACTCACTCGCAGTAGTCCTCCTGGATGAATGAGGTTTTTTAATTTAATTTTTGGTCTTTAGTATTATCAAAAAAAAAAAATGTTGCCAAGTTCACACTATTACACAGAAGAAACTGAATAGCATACTAACCAGTCAATATTAATAAATATATAATAAAAAGTTGAGTAGACTAGTTTTGTGAATAACTTATAGTACGTATTTGTACTATTTACTGAAATTATTTGTTAAATTATTCTCCTTTGTATTGTATTGAGTGTAGCTAAAACTGGAATGTAAACATTCTGAAGTTCTCGAATATAAGTATTCAAGATATTATTTTTATAAATCTAAAGTTGTAAACTTATGGATGACTTTGACTGTATGGCGGCGTAAACATTCCATTTAAATTCATTCCACATGATTAATTAATTTTTACAGTGTCTGTGGTACGATGACAAATATTGTTTATGATATTAAGTTAGTACTGCATGCAAATATTATCTCCATGAATTGATATTTAAAAAATACCAAATTCTTTTCTCATTCGCTTTTTTCTTATTTTATTGTAAAAAAATCTACAATTATGAAATTATCAGCATGATAGAAGTATGTATTAACTTTAAATGAATGACTCATAAAACTAAAGCCATATAAAAACGATTTATGCTATATTTTTGCCTTGAAATTTCATGTAAACTTGATTAACTTTATTAATCAAATTTAGAAAAAACATTCTTCCTATAAATTGTGGTTACTATAATTGTCTATGGTTATAAGTTAAGGTGATAGGTACTTTCTTTTCCATTTTCGCGCTTAATTTCTATTGGATATGCTGCGCATACATATTATTATACATTTTATTTAAACTTATGCTTATGTATGTCAGAATTTCTCTCTTGAATCTCCTACTTTAATAATTCTTCTGCGCTCATTCTACATAGCAACACCTGCTTTTCTATTAGATATATTAGATTTCAGTCTCCTATTTTTGTATTTATTGATATTATAAAACTATATTATTAGATGTAAGCTGTCGTTGGATGTTAAAAACATAAAATGTCTGAAATATTGTCATATTATTTGTATTGTATGTATATCGCCATAAACGTACCTAAATAGTTTGTTGATCATTGTATTACTAGCTTGGATAAACACGCGTGTCAGGGGAGAATGAGAGGATTTTATGAAATGTATATTACCTACTTTATTTATTCCCCTGTTTTACTGTAGCAAAATTATATTAAAAAAGAAAACCAAATATAAAAGATCTTTGGAACACTCCTAGATCGTGTGAAGGAGAAAGTACAAACATAATAATACGTGCCAATATGTAATGAGTAGATATATTTCATTCTTTATATAGGAGTATATTTTTCCTATGTTCACAAAAGTAATATATTTCCGTAGTTGTATTCTTTCGTGATGGTCTGAAGTGTGATTGTTAGGGCGATGCTGGCGGGAGCCGGGCGTGACTAGAAGGAGGTCATTTATACATCTAATTAGGTATAAATAAATTATTTACTTAATACAAATTTTATTATAATTGTAACATTGTTTTATTTATTCCACGTAGTAAGATCCACTTTCTTATTATTGTTAGTTGACACATTCTCACATACCTACTACTTAGATTACAGTGGCAAGATGTACTGTCATGGATGGCACATATTTGTGACTAAACTCTTACAATGCAAAACAATACGGCACTAACGTCAAAATATAAAGACTTTATTTCATAGACGAAAGTATCAGAGGCATTAACACTTATAAATTAAGTTAATCTCAAGTTTTTACACATTAATACAAAACGAAGTTAATGCTTGCACCTTAGTTAATTAGTGCCTTTTTGCGCATAATCTTTTTTATAAAATTATATTTTTAAATATCTCAGTCAAAATCTAGATTTACCTATGGGCGCAGTTTGGATAGGATCCAGTCGATGTAGGCGCCTACTCGAGTGTAGACTCCGGGCCAGCCTTGGGTACCGCAGGGAGCGGGACCGTAGGACACGACGCCGACAACTACCCAGTTGTTGGCTGAGGGGGCTTGTCCCATGAGCGGGCCGCCCGAGTCTCCGCGACATGAGTCCTGGCCTTGGACGCCGCCCGCACATATCTGCGTCGGTACTATCGTTCTGCTCACACGTTGGTACACGGAGGCACACTGGTTCAAGCTGACGACGGGCACACGAACCTTTAGCTTCACATCTGACTCCGTTCCTGCAATATTTATTCATGTATCTTAGAACTGGTTTAATCATTAGTATTAATTCAATGTTGTGTTTGTTAATTAAAGCAGAATAAAGCTCGGTTCGTTTACATTGTTATATAGCTTTCCACAGATTAACCATTGTTAAATACTTTTTTATATTGTTTATTAAATTGGCATTTGTATTTTTGTGTAGATGTTGATTTCATATTATGGTTATTAAAACTGTTATATGTTGCAAAAAACAGGAGTAATTAATTTATCCTAGGCACAACGGAGCAACCTTCCTTCGTAAGCAATTAGATACTTAATCACATCATAGTAAGCAAGTAGGTATATGTATATAGGTACCTAAGTGTTTCAAATATTTGAAACTATAAAATGTACCTATGTAGATAAGGTGCGCACAATGAACCTAAACGTATGTTAGAGTAATGAAAAAAATGTAGGCGCGTGTTATGCACTTCAAGGTAGGTACCTAATGAGCGAACAGATGATGTGTAAATATGTAAAATTATGCCTTTGCAAACGCACTCGTGTCAGGAGAAATGTGGAGCAAAGTTTTGTTTTTAAATAACAAGTATGCTGGGGATGGTAGAGAACGAATATACAGCACGGTTAGCGGTTGCCCAGCCCCCTAGGCTGGGCGACCGGCAGCTAAGTAACATATTACGAGGTCGATGTATCTGCATTCTGCTTGAAGACTAAATTTGGGATGTAATGTAAATTTGTACGTTTGTAAACGCGACCACGACAAACCAGAAAACACTAAGTGTGAGGCTGCATTTCAAAAATGTATCATATAAGTTTAGTTGGATTAACGTAACGTGCATGCACGCAGGGTGGGATTGAAGCTATTCACATTATGTCCATGACGGCCCACCTGCCAAATTGGTTCCGGAAAAAATCGGCTGGGAGTCGCTACCAGCGTCCTCTGAAAGCAACCATTGTTAGCGAAACTAATAGATGAATTTGTGCAACTACCTCTATGTACACTGTGCATGGTTAGTTCAAAATTATGACTCTATGACCCTATGGTGACTGTGTTCTACTTACGAGTTTCTGTCTTGCCCCATCCAGCTACCTCCAAGTCAAAGCCTTCAAAATAGCTGTTTCTCAGCTCATTGGTCACCGGCAAACATATAGGTTTCACGAAATCTGAAACGTTAACATCATACGTTACGTTAGACCTTGTTCTAAGACGCTCGACTAGCTACAAGCCACGCAGGGTTGCACAATCATGAGTTGGGATAGCCAACAGAGTCCTCGATTCTTCAATTTACCTACGTGAGTAAATCATTATTTTTTTAACCTAAGTAGGTACTATGTTTAGCGATGGGTTAACATACATAGAAACTTGAAAACAGGTACCCACCATTGAATTGCGCATTGTAAGCAAGCCGCAGCATCGCGATGTCGTGGTGCTGCTGAGTATCCTGAGGGTCGTAGTTCTCCTGTGCGATGATGTCTTCCACTGGAATGTCCTGGACGGGTCCACTGCAGTCGTCGTGGACGCAATCCACATTACTGGACGTGTTCCATTCGCCTAGTCGCACTTGTGACCTGGAATTATTGGAGGCCATTATGTTGAGTACCTATTTATTTGTACGTTAGGTAGGCAGTAATTTATTCTGTATTCTGTTCCGTTCGTATCTATTTAATAGGCATAATCGCATTCTCACTCCCTCTGGGTCACTCAGATAAGAAGGTAATCTACCTAATACCTAGAGTTTCTAATAAAGAAATGAAGAGAAATCAAGGTTTCATGTAGGTATGAGTGTGTAGTGTTCAGTATTGAGGGATTCACTTATTAAAGTCCATTATAACGAGTGGTATATAGGTACTTATTAAGTCATACATCAAAATCGATGTCGGCACCTACTTACCAAAGCCATGAAAACGATTGCAGAATACATGAAGTTGGATAATAATGGAAAATTAGTTTCAGTCGTAACTTGGTCCTTATAATCTAAGCATATTTTGACGACCTAACAATGTTCTTTAACTACGTCTATTTATTGAAACACTCGTAAAACGCACATACACATGTGGAAAACATTGACGTTGACGCGCTTAGCTTCGAAAAAATGTAATTTCCAAAGGTAAATTTTGTTACGACACCGTAAGTTGGATTTTTTTGTTTTCTTTCCTTTTCTCTATATTTTCTGTGTTTTCTATATCTATAGATACTAATATTATAAAGCGGAAAGATTTGTACCTATTTTTGTATGTTTGTAATGAATAGACTCAAAAAGTACTGGGCCGATTTAAAAAATTCTTTCACCAATAGAATGCTACATTCTTCCAATTTGACATAGGCTACAATTCATTTTGAAAAAAAAATATTGTCAACCCCGTGCGAAACCGGGATGGGCTGCTAGTCTTATATATAACACCTATTAATTAATTTTAATATTGTCAATATTTAACCTTGTAAATGTAGGTATAAATCTTAATGTCAATCTATATATTCTTATAATAAATCTGTAGAGGTCAATTCTGTATATGAAATATATTTCCAAAATAATTATCAGGTGGTGAATGGGATCACTGGCGAAGCCGCTGGCAGATTTAATTTTAATTTCATAAAATCAATTCTAAATACCTAGTAAATAAATAGTAATTAAGGTAAGGTTCTATGCATATAGATAATTTTGGCTTAAGTATGATGACCCCGGAAAACCCCAGTTTGATTAAAACAAATACGCAATACCAAGAGACAGTTTGAGTCACTGCAGTTGGACCGTGTAATCAATATGTTGACCACAGATATATTTTTTTAATATTTCTGTGATGTTGACCCAATATAAAATGTTACTTGTAGGTAGGTAAATATGACACATACACGTCTTAAAGAAGGGAATGGGTCTGAGTTAAAACTTAAAAACTGAACGGTTCACAAAACATTAAGATTTTTTTAGATAAATCAGTCGGTATTTCTTTTTTTAAGGGGGGACAATCATCGAATGACTGCTCCCGTTTTAGTGTCAGACTCTTACTGACTAAAACCCACCCCGTTTCTTCCCGACCCCAGCTCCGGTTACCCGTCAGGTTCTCCGCGACAAATCAGTCGGTATAGATAGTGTATCTATCTCTCCCACCGATACAGACAGATATTTACATAACTTACTTACGTAATATTAATACGAATAACTAAAAACTACACTTACTACACCTTAAAAAAAAGGGTAGGTACATTAGGGCATCAAAAAAATTTTCCTCATCGCTGTCGTGAGGTAGGGTGCCCAAAAGACTGGCAGAATTACCACGTTGAATAAGACATCGAACCCTGACGGGTTTGTATAACTACAAACTCCTCTTATGTAGAGGAGGCGGCAGGAGGACCTAAGTTCAACATTGGAGCGTCTCGAGCTGATGTTTTTATTTTTAGGATGGCGTTTCGTCACCATTTTGTCTAGTGGTAAGCGATGACGATGGCTTTTGATGATGAATTAATGTTTATAAAATGTTAATAATTGTAGATAGGTACTTACAGTCTCCAGGTTGTTGGTAGGTCTGCTCCCTTGACACAGTGAGCCGCTGTAAGGACGTATCTGGCGGAGATAAGGACACCTCCGCAGTAGAAGCCCCAACCGACGGCTGTGGAAAACGATCCAAATATTAGAATTATTAATTTATTAAAATTAACATATTTTGAGCTGAAACTAAACTTTATGTGGGAGATTCTAAAGTCTGTATACCATGAATATTATTCAGATAAATCTTCAGTATGGTCTCTATTTTAGCTGTAACTTCATAATATAATGTACATTTTGTCTGTTTCAGTGTAATTAGGTAGGAAAGTCCTGCGTTATTTTAATTTGTAGCTTGAAAGTATAAAATAATCATGGTTATCAAGTCTTACGTTTGTCGTATCTGATGAGGGCCATCCATGGATGCTCGTCAATGTCAGCCTGTATGCCTCCCACAATTCTGTCATTGTTCTGAATGCCGCAAATATGAGAGTTAGGCAGGAGGTTCAAAGGACTCCCATTTCTCATTGATATGGACGAGGTTTGACCACCACCTAAGAACTCTGGCGGACAGCATATCTAGAGAAGAAAAATAAATAATAATCAATAGGTAAGTAGTTACTTATAAATGATTGTAATTAAGACATTTCAGTAAGTGGAAAGGTACATATCTACGTAATTTTTAATTGTAACTTGTAAGTAGGTACAAATATCGCGCTCAAAAATATTTTAAGAGTGATTCAAATAAGAGGTGTGTTGTCATTAGAAAATCATTAAGATATGTAGTATGCTCACCATAGGCAGGTCGGTCCCTTGGAAGCCACAGTGCAGGCTGCGCAGAAGTTGCGTCAACTGTGGTGTGTTGCCC